ATGGGGGCAGTACACATCATTGGAAGTAAGCGGTATTTTTATATTTTAGTAAGACCTTACCAACAGGTGGCCATTAGGGTGAAAAATCCCTGGCAGCACAATTTTTAAACAAGTGCTTAGTCAGATCTTTCAACCTCTGGCAAAATGACAAGCACATCAGACTCCATTACTTAGTTCTTTTTTTAAACACAGACACAACAGTTGTTTACCCTGAAAATGACATGTTTTGGCCAGCGACTCTAGCCATCATCAAGAGCTTGCCGGTGCTGGTGGTGTCACTTCCATTTATCCGCCGAAGCAATGCCACCAACACTGGCGAGGTCTGATGATGGCTAGAGCAGCAACACAAACACACACACACACACACACACACACACACACACACACACACACACACACACACACACACACACACACACACACACACACGCACATTACATTATACTTAAGGAGCTACAAATTATAGGCACTTCCTATTCTCCAGCTCTGGCTCTGCCACTTCCTACTCAGTTTATCTTCAGTTCAATCTTTAGCATGAACGGTCATAAACAAGTTGGATGGCTGCTGATCAAAGAAGTATAAAACATCCTTTGTAGGTGAGACGGCGTGCAAACAGCCAAAAATGTGACTAAAGCTTCTGCTAATTCAGCTCGTAGCAGAAGAAAACTCGTAAAAATCCAGTTTGGCTGAAACACCTCAGATATGTTGTAGCCAACTGGGTAGAAATCTGGAAAATGGATGAGGCAAAATAAACATGTTTACTTAGAGGACCAAAAAATTGTTATTGGTTATAAATCTACGGCAGCCAGTTGAGCTGCTGTGATTTAAAAGACGCCCAACAGAATTAAAACAGGGACAGATGAGAAAAGCCTGGTTTGAACAAAACACCAGCAACAGGCAGGCAGGGGCCATGTGTGTTTGATTGATTCCCTCAGAAACACAAACACAGAATTGTCGTTGTCGACAATAGTGGAGCGGGGAAATTACCTTCAAGTCTCAGTCCAGCCCACTGGAGCTTTGTTTAAACAATGTGCTCTTGTGGAAAATAGAAGATTCACAAAGGAAACAAATGGTGAGGCAATAAAATGATGAGTAAAAGACGTTCTCCATATAAGAGAAATAAGACTGAAATCAGTGATTTTCTCATTTCACTTTAAAATAGCTGCATAGATCCCAAGAAAAGTCCTGGAAACTTGGATTTTACTCGGCTGCTTCAAATTTGACAAGAGAATTAGATGATTAATTAATCTGACATTAGTGTTTGTCTAATAAAGAATACAAAATGACAGAATGTAAAAGTGTCTTATGTACCAATTCAGTATGAGTCCAAATGAAAATTTGCATTATTTGTTGCCATTTTGTTTCAAACCAGTCTCTAACAGCCACAGCACAGTGAGACATTACCCTTATCAGTGTTATTCACAAATGAAAAACTTAACTATTCACTATTCAGCAGAAAGGTTATGAATAGAATAAAAATCTGCATTTAAATAATTTAGTTTCCAACACTGTTCAAGAGAGCCGTGCCTGGCCAAGTATCCCATAAACCCCCACTGAGGAGGTTTTTAATGCAGCATTCTTCTGTGTTGGAATGAGAAAGAAAACTTTAGCCAACAAAGGATTTTCTTTGTGAGGCCAGAGGCCATAACTCTCATAAAACACCAAGATGAAGTAGCTGCAGCAGGAGAAAACAACAGAAAAATAAAAACCCTACAAACTACAGCAGAAATTCAGCTAACAAACAAAAATATGTTCAAAAGTCAGAATAAATGTCAGAAACATCATGTTATGTCTTTTTTAGCAGTGGTAATAGTTGCTTTTACTGCTGTAAAAATAAAAGTAACTTGTACTTTTATTTCTGGTACAGAATAAACAAAAGCCCCTGCATTATAGCAGACAGGGCAAATAGTTCTTGAGTATATCAAATCAAAAACAACTTAGCTGTCTCAGTGTTCGTCGGACTAAGCAGCAAATAAAGAGACAAGGAGAGATGAAAGTGCTGTTTTCTAACTAACTGTGCGAAAAATCATGCCTGTAAACAATCAACGGGCTTGCAGATAAATATAAGACAATTAAGATAAATTATAGGTGTAATGGAGTTTAAAGAAAAATCATCAGGCAGGATCCAAACACTCAACTACAACTGTGCCTAGGATCAACATTATCCCTTCATCTTCTTTAATGACACACAGAATCTCCTCTCATACACAAAGTACAACCTGGTGCCCAGCTTTTATGTATAACACACATCACATGTGGTGTGGTAAACAGGATTAAACTCTAAAGCCTGCATGGTTTTATTTGAGTTTGCTGCATTAAACTGACGTTTAAACAGTTCTAAACGTCTGCTGTGGGAAGCTTTCTGTAGGAAACCGCAGCAGCACCTTTTTGCTCAGACGTGAAAAAAGAAAATAACAGCTACTGCTAGAAGAGACTGTAATTAAACACTTCCTTATTTAAACATAGTCGGACTCCTGTCCTGACTAGGGTTGTCACGGTAACCGGTATAGCGGTAAACCCCGGTAAAAAAGTTGACAATAAAAATAACCGTCCAGTTTTTAAAAAACTATATTATCTCGGTGGGTTTACCGTGGCCGCGGTTTTGGCGCGGTGACCCTTACCAGCCACCGTCGCTTCAGCTGAAGTTCCCGCGGCGCGCACACGCACTTTTTAGTTTGCAACGGCACCAAAACTTTGAAGCTGAAATAATGGCGGAAGGAGGAGACGGCAGCGCCCAGGACATCCATCAGCCCTCAAAGAAGACTCAATCGGAAGTATGGGCATATTTGGGATTTCTGAAAAATGCTGAGGGACAGTTAATAGAAGACTGCTATCCCGTTTGCAGAACGTGCAGGAAACAAGTGTCTGCAAAAGGCAGCAACACTTCGAATCTAATGGCACATCTGCGTGACCATCACCCACGGCTCTACAGCCAGTGCAAGGTAAGTTAACATTAGCATTTTAGCTTAAATGCATGACGCGAGGACTTTTGGTTGAGGGAGAATGCAACGAGTCACTATATACTGCAGCCGCAGCGTCCTCTGCCAGCATTTAAACCGTGTCACGGACACCCTGTTGCTGGATGAAGCATCTTATTTGTTGATGATGAAGAGAAATATACAATTAGTTCCTTGTCATTGATTTGTTTACTTATTCAATGCCATTTATACTTGAACATTTGGATTTGATTACATAGTGTAGTAGTTATTTTAGTAATTTGTTTAAAGTGGCTATTTATTTTAAATACATATTTTTTAAGGTTGACTTGTACAGTGCTCAAGTCAAGTGTGGACTGGAGTTTTAGATTTTCATTTTGATAATGAAGAAAACAAGTAAAAGAGAAAACAAGTGGTGTTTCTTTGATTTGTTTACATATTGTTTATGTTTTGAATGTTTGGATTTGTATAATTTAAACCTGCACTGACTACTGTAACACGTTCCAGAAAAAGAAGCTATTTGTTCCTTTACTTGTGAAAAGTTGCACTTTTGCTAAGGCTTTGTGTTATTTTAGGTTTAATAAACACTGTTAAACCTTTTCAAAACTATTTCAGTTTGTGTAGAACAGGACTATCAATGCTTTCTGAACATATGCAACACCGTTTAAAAAATACCGCGATAATACCGAAAACCGTGATAATTTTGGTCACAATAACCGTGAGGTTAAATTTTCATACCGTGACAACCCTAGTCCTGACCACTTTTATAGCTGTTCATCAGCAGAAGAATAAATGATAATGTTTGATCAGAGCTGTAGAAAAGCATTGATCTAGAGACAAACAACACATCAAGTTAGTGGTGCGTTAGAAACATGCATGCTCTCATATATCAGCCTCTGAGATCTTTTCTATGGCTACAAAGTCCCATGCTGTTTGTTATAAAAGGACACAAATGAAGCTCATCAAAATATGCAATGACTCTGAGCTTTAGTGTCGTGGCCTGGGTGTGAAACACACACCTCTGTCTCTGGTTCTACTCTCTCACCAGACCATGGCCAACAGTAACTGAACGTTTACAAGGAACTGAAAACACAAATGTGTTAATGTTTACTGTAAGTCCTGCTTCACTTCTGCTGTTTAGCTTTCAGAACCTGCAAGTGCAAACAAAACAATTCCTGTTTCACATGAAAGCACAACATGTTACAGGCAGCCTCCCCAGACCTGGACCTGTCCTCGAGTATTGATGTCAATCAATCAATCAATCAATCAATCAATCAATCAATCAATCAAAGCTTTATTTATAAAGCGCCTTCCGCAACCCTGTCAGGAAGCCCAAGGCGCTGAACATGGTACAGTAGAAGTACAAATCAAAAATAAAAGCAATTCAGAAATAAAAGCAATTCAACGGATGCACGTTTTACAACCTTTCTCTAACCAGTTA